ATGGGGCCGATTTGCTCTCTTACTCGTGTGCTCACTGGAGCAGCACTGCTACTTTCCTTCCAGAACTTTCCCTTTGCACTCACAGCTTGGCCAACTCACAAGAGGCCAAGCGTTTGGCCCAGCTCGGCTCTCAGCTGCCTCCTTCACTGAGCTCGGTCACGTCCAGCTTCTGCTTTAAAGTGAGAGACGTGGGGCTCTTCCTCTCATGTGAACACGTAGAAGCCACTGCAGGGTTGTTAGGTGGCCTAATGTCCCTGCTGTTGTGTCTCAGGGAACAGGGAGGCCTGAAGAGAGGGGAGACGGGGACAGCCAGTGGGTGGAACAGTCAGCGCACACGTTTCTTAAGTCTGACGTGGGTGTGGCTGGGGGGCCCCAAAGCAATGACAATAGTAACATCAGAGATCACTGACCACAGTCCACCAAGACAGATACATGATGATGAAAAAGGCTGAAATACTGGGAGAATTACCAAGACGTGACACAGACAAGAAGTGAGCAAATAATGTTGGAAAAATGGCGCTTACAGAGTTGGTCGATGCTGTTGCCACAAATCTTTGATTCATAAAAAAACAGTGTCTGTGAAGTGCCATGTAACGAGGTGTGCCTAACCTTCCTTTCTCTTACAGTTGTTTTTAAAGATGTTAACTCTTCTGACTATTCATTTATTCGACAAACTTACTGAGAATGCTTCATGACTAGATTTTGCACTGATCACTGAGTTATTGTTAATGAGTAAGACATTTCTCTCCTGGAATTTACATTTCATCATTGTCGATTTATAGCTTCTCACAAACTCAAGTTTCTCTAGTTAATTATAAATTTCCGTGTTGATGACCAAGTCCCCACTCGACCAGTGGGCGCCCGTGAGTCCGTCGGCTTCCGTGTCCTTCGACATTGCCTCGGCCCTGGATTTTTGTGTCCCTGCTTTCTGTAACAGCACCTGTCTTAACCCCGCAGATCTGAAATCCGCTGCCTGCTCCAGGGGCCCTGTTTCTTTCTCCTCCGCATGGGGACTGGTCCTTGCTGTCGGCGCTGTCATAACGGTAGCGCCAGGGGAGGGCAGCGTCTTCTGCAGTCCCTTGTCCACGCGGGTTTTCCTCTCTGTCACGTGGCGTCTGACTTCCACATGCTGAGGTCTCAGTGACAGCGTGCGCCCTGGGGTTGGTCATGGCCGTGCTGGATGCAGACCTGCATGTGCCCATCACGCCGCAGACGGCTGTGAGCCTCGTGCAGGGGCTGCGTCGCCCCATCTGCTGACTTTCGCCCGTCAGTTGGGGTGGAAGCCTGGGCCTCACCGCTTCCAGATTGCGTGAACCCGCAGGTTCCTCTGGCCTCTCGTCCCGAGGACGTCTGTGTCCTGACCTTTCCTTCCATGGTCCTTCTCCCGTCTGACCTGTGCTTCTGCCCTTCGCTGGGTGCAGCCTCAGCTCTGCAGCCCTCATCCCTCCCCACGTCCGTCCCCCTTTGCTGCCAGGCTGGTCTTTCCTCGTGACACCTGACGTCTCCTGTTCACAGCCCTTCAGGTGGCTTCGTCTTGGGCTCAGTGCGGACTCTGTAGTGTGGCATTCCGGCCCTTTGTCACGGGGCTCTTCCTCCTTCGCAGGTCTCCTGCTGTCCCTGGCAGGCGGACCCTTTGCGCGGCCCTTCTTTCCCTCTCTGCGTGTTGGTCGTGTTTGCTCTGTCGAGCAGGTGCCTTTCATTTCTGCCTGTTGGTCTGACTTCCTGGTCTTGGCGGTGGAAGCCTCCGCAAGCCGTCTTTGGGGGTGCCCCCGACAGCTTAAGGCCAGGAGCCCCTCCTCCCCTTAGTAATGCTCACGGATCCATGCTCTCATTTTAAACCCTATTTCCTAGTCTTTTGTGATCCCGAAAGATTTTTGTCACTCCTCCTATTCTTGTGACCCCAGTGGTCTTTCGGTCCCCTTAAGACCTTCAAATCTATCCTCTCACGTCCTTAAACCCCAGAGTTGTAACCGTTACTCTAACGTATTCTCTGCTCCCTTTACTCAAGCCACTATGCTTTGGCTCCTCCTACCCGCTCCATCTGTGCGCCCATGACACCTAACTCTCTGGAGGAAAGCTTTCCTGGGGGGCAGGCTCACCTCAAAGTCGAGAGCACGGACCGCAGAGGCCTCCCCGTCCCCTCCCCTCAGGACCCATGGTACTTCCCCCTCTTCTCACTGCGCCCTGCCCCCCCCTCCCCTGAAGGCCCTGTGTCCCCTCGGCTGAGAACCTGCCGTGGGTCCTGCCCTCCTGCTGCCTGTGGCACGTGAGCCTGAGTGCTCAGTCTGGCCCTTTTGTTGGGGGGCCTGTCTGCGCCCACAGGCAAGGCCCTCTTAGGCCTGGAGTGGCCCGGCTCCTGCAACCCTGTCCCGCGTCCTCCCCCAGCTGGTCCACGCTTGCATTTACTCCTGAGACTTGACCACATGTCCGTCAGCCAGAACCCTGTTTGCCGCTTTGCAGAAGCTCCCCGAAGCTTCATCGTCTGCAGATGGCATGTCCTGCTAATGCACTCTCGTTAGGCCGCTGTTCTGGTAGCGGTCCAGCCCCTCCCCTGCGGCCTCCTGCTGGCCACCTCTCAGGGCACATGGGACCTGGCTCCTCGTCATGTGCCTGGCTCCTCGCCACATGATTTCTTCCTTTGACTCAGGATACCTGACGCCCTGGGCTTTCCCCTCACCGGCCGATCACATCCAGTTTCGTGGTTTAAATGTGGTTTCTATGCCAAGAGCCCCAGCTTCAGTCCCGGCCAGACTATCTTCTGTGCGGGTCTGGCGTCTGACCCCTCAGCATGTTGCACAGTAAATTGTCTGTGCCATTCAGATTGCTTCTAGAGATTTCTGGGAGCTTCACTTATGTCATTTAGTCCGTCTAAAACAACTCGTTTTCCTAAACCTTGTTTCTTACAAATTCCAAATAGAATCGGTTTTTAGAGCTGCTGGTTTTGAATTTGAATCTTTTATGCTTCCTTTCACCTCAACTCGTCAGTTAGTAATGAATTCCTAGGAATCTTCACCAATATTGCCCATTTGTCTCTTCTGCTTCAAGTAGTGTCTAGTTTAGGCTTTCATTACGACACGGCCGTGTCGTTGCAGAGGACGTCCGCGTGGTGCCTGCCTCTTCCTGTCCTGACGCCTGTTGGTTCTGTCGATGGTGTGGGGTGAGGCTCTGGCCTGAACTTTCTCCTCTTCCCCGAAAAAGCCAATGGAACCAGAATGGGAGAGACTAGCCTTCCTTTTTCTGCTCTCTGTCCTGGGCCAGCCGTTGTTTCGTTGACGTGTCTCTTCTATTGCTTTAATTTTAGTAACGCTTTTTAAAATTTTTTTGAAGGCTTTGAAACAGCAGGTGGCCGACTTACAGGAAGATATGAAAAGAAAGGAAGCAAAATGGTCAAGTACACATGGCCGTCTTAGAAGCCAGATAGAGATGTTGGTCAAAGAGAACACAGACCTCCGGGAAGAAATAAAAGTGATGGAAAGATTCCGACTAGACGCCTGGAAGAGAGCAGAGGCCACCGAGAGCAGCAGCAAGGCGGGCCAGTGCGGGACTGCCGCGAAGAAAGAGGGGTCCGTGGTAGGTTTGGGGACAGCGGCTTTGTCACCTCAGTGGGCGTATTAAATATGTGAGCAGTCGGATCCGTAGAGACAGAGGAAGGGCGGGTGCCAGTGCTGCAGGGACAGAACGAGGGGCTCATGGTGCATGGGGACAGTCTCGGTGCTGCCAGACAAGGTGAGCTCTGGGGCTGGAGGCCGCTGACGGCCGCATGGCAGGTGACTGCTGCGCTGTGGAGTAGAGCACGTGAGCAGGGGCGAAATGACGTGTCCTGCGTACTGCACCACAAGTGAAACAGACATGTGAGCGTTGCTCTGCAGATGCTTTTCAGGTTCATTTAGATGATTCTCATAAAGGGATTACGCCCCAGCGGGCAGATGGTCTCGGTTAAAACTGGCCCAGGGAGAGTTCGTGGTCACGTGCCAGTCAGGGAACTGGTGCTCGGTCACCCCTGTCTCAGCCCCGCTCTCCTGGCGCTGCTTTTGGGCTGTGCGGGTGATGCGGTGAACAGGGTGACGGACGTCTTCGCCCTCTTGGAACCTAAATGCCCCAGTGGGGGAGGAAGACTGCAAATAAGATAAATAAAATACATGCTGTGTGACTCAGTGACGCACACTGAGGAGAAAAAGCAGGGAGGGGGAGCCACTGTTGGGTGAGGGGCAGGGAGGGCCTTACTGACAGGGTGGCTGCTTCTGGTCTGTGCCCGGCCGAGGCCTGGGCCTGAGGCCGTGCCCGGTCCTGGGGCAGTGCCGTCCGTGAGGACGCTGACGCGGCGCTGCGGGAGCCTCGCTCGCTCGCCTCAGTTCGCAGGTGTTACGTGGCTTTCGCTGTGCGGTTTCGCTCAGAGCTGCAGGACGTGTCCACGGCGTGACGTGACGACTGACAGTGAAGCGGGAGCAGAGTCAGTGGGGTGCACAGGAGGGGGCGAGACCGACGTGAAGGAGGTGGGGTGCAGGCGTCCTTAGGCCTGAAGAGTTTGGGTGGGCTCTTGGGGCCTCAGCCTTTGCCCCCTCTGGAGGCTCGAGGACGGGACTGTCTGTGGGCACAGCCAGGAACACAAGGCTTCGTGGCAGGGGCTCGGAGCTGGTTGTGGCTTGGCCTAGGGGGCGGCACTGTGTGGGGAGCCGTGGGCAGGATCTGCTGATGGATGGGGTGTGGGTGCGACGCAAGAAGGGGCCCAGGAGCATGCCCCAGTTCAGCGTTCCCATGTGCCCCGCGGGGCCATGAGATAGCAAGGGTTTCTCGGGCACAGGCGTCAGGAGCCCGGGTGCAGGCCGGGCAGGCTTGCGGTGCCCGCGGCATCTGCTGGACTTGTTTCCACTCGTCACAGAGGTCAGAGTAGAGCCAGCCGTCGGGGGTCACGTGCGTGGGGAAGCTTTGGGCCGGGAGAGGTGATGGGGCTGAGTGCGGAGTGAGGAGATGCAAGTCCGAGCCAGACTGACAAGCTGGCTCCAGGAGTGTGGACAGCTGGGCCGGAGGACTAAGGGGGCTGGCGTGGCGTCCCGCGGGCCACGTGGAGACAAGCCCTTGAGGAGAGTGGCTGTCAGGCCGCTGCTGACGAGGCTAAGGACTGACGGCCGTCGGGTTAGCAGGGTTCAAGTCGGGGTGCGTTTCAGATAAAAGCCGACTGGACAGGAGAGAATGGTGTGGGGGCCTCATGGGGGCCCGCAGTGGATGGGGGAGAGGGGCTGAGTGTGGGACATTGTTTCCTCTGCTTTAGGGCGGGAAAATAAACAGGTGCCA